GATTTTAGGCTTCTCAACCCCGCCGGGGAGGCTCTCCATGATGGCTTTCATCCTCAATGCACTCACCTGGTAAGTCTGCAGCCAGCTGGAGCACCTGCGTCTTGTCCTTCCTTAACATTGAACCATAAGAGAATTCAGTGTGATGTCCCGCCTCTCTCAAAGCATCTCCCAAAATCCCTGTGCCTGGTTGAGCATGTCTGCTGAGGGCAGTTGGGAGCTGCTGACTCCTGGCTTTCTAGAACCTGGAAAAGTCATTTCACTTCACTGCCTCGATTTCCCAGCTGGGAACGAGATTTGCTTCTGTGAGAGATTTTGCTGAAAGTTAGAATTAATGGATCTCAGCAAACACCGATCTGTAAAGATTTATGAATTTTGCCACTGCACAGAGATTACTGGGGGAGGTAGTTTAAAAATTCCCGCCTGTTCTTTGCACTAAAATCTCCTTTCCCTGCCATCGTGTAATTAAAAAGCTGTAAGAATGTAAAAGTCTTGCTGCAGCGGCCAGGAGAGAGGTCAAACCCAACCTTATTCTTACACCATTTGAAGAAGTTTTAAAACCGCTTAATAACCAGCCCTGCTGACAGCTCTTGCTGCGCCCCCTTTTTCCACGGCCCAGCTCATCCCCCCCACTCTTGCCTTTCGCTCCTGCAGCGCCCTGGCCTTGCTGTACTTCATCCGCCGCGGGAAGCAGTGCCTGGATTTCACGGTCACCGTCCACTTCTTCCACCTGCTGGGCTGCTGGGCGTACAACTCGCGCGTGCCGTCGACGCTGACGTGGTGGCTGGTGCAGGCGGTGTGCACGGCGCTGATGGCGGCCATCGGGGAGTACCTGTGCATGCGGATAGAGCTGCGCGAGATCCCCCTCAGCTCCGCGCCCAAGGCCAGCGTGTAGGCTCGCCCCGGCCGTGACGCCGTCGGCTCCGGCACGGGCGCGTCGGATGCGCCTCAGAATCATCCCCTGAAGAAGCACAGCGGGTCTGTTGAGACTTTGTTATTCATTTTTTTCGGACCTCGGTGGCTGCATGAGCGCGAGCATCTCCTCCGGCATCGGCTGGCAGCAGGGGGAGGAGCAGATGTTTATTTTGTTAACACGAAGCATTAACGTGACTGTATGGAGAGCGTGCCCTTGAACTCTTCGCTCGAGAGACTGTGAAAAGCCAGGTAGCAAAGCCTGGAGCGTGAGGAGCATTTGGACTGTGACGATGTGGGAGTGCCCCGTTTGGGGAACACAGCGGTCAGCTCTTTTCGCGGGAGCTGGCACGACGAGCCGTGGGACTGGGAGCCACTGCTTCCAGTCTGTGACTGATGTGGGCTTTGGTGGGAAAGGAGTCAAGGAAGTGAATGGATGGGGAAAAGGAAAATAGTTGTACTTACCCGAATCACCAGCTGAGACACTAAATGACCTATAAGTTAGATGGGTTTGTTTGCTGTTTCCATGTTTGATACACAGAGGTGACAGACGGCAGTTTGCTGAAGAAACCTTTTGTAATAATAAAAACATTATGTTGCTGTGAGTGTGTTATGGCTCTCCTGGGAAGCTGAGCACTTCAAGGAGTACCACGAGTGTGTGTATCATGGCAACAGAGGGAGGCAGCCAGAGAACGCCTGGCTGGGAGATGCCCACTCTCTGGGGCACATAACATTTCCTACAATAAACATTGCATACCTCTGCTCTGAAAGGAAGGCATCAGTGAGTGCTGTTTGGGAAGTCAGATGGCACAATCCCACTTCAGGAGGAGTGCCAGCAGTCCAGGGTCTCTCCATGTTCAACCCGAGGCTGGAGGTGTCCTGGAGCCATCTGCTGCTCTTCCCACTTATCTGGGTGTTCCTGCCAGGCTTCAGAATTCCAGCAACAGATCTGCTTTGGTAGGGGTGATGTTAAATAAGAGACTGCTGTTATTTCTCAAAATAACAGGATGTGCCTTTATTTAGAGACACTTCAAATAAACTTCACCAGGCAGTGACACCCCCTTACTGCTGAGGGGCCAGAGCTGGGTGGTTCCTGCAGGTCCCACAGCCCAAGCAAGGAGACCCTGCCTGGATTCCACTGAGGGATGACCAGTTTGTGCAATCCCAGACAAGGACCAAGCCAGGTCTCCTGTGCAGCATCTCGCTGCAGTAACTTCCCTTTGTACATTAATATTTGTAAATGGTAACTTGCATAAGTTATTTGCTAATTCAACTTGTTGAAAAGTGGTGGGATGATGTGAAGATACAGAAGTTGATAAATTCCTTAAAGCTGCTCTTTTGGCTTTTGTTCCTGGGGAACTGAGCTGTATTTCAGTCCCTGCTCTCACACTCAGACACTGTAAATTGAGGCAGGATAACATCCTGTGCTTTTACATACTCGGCAGGGCTGCCTCAGAGGAGGATTTCTGTCTAAACAAATGTAACCAGCACTTTTTGTATTCTGGGACTTCACCAGAAGCCCTTCCTGACCAACCCCTCTGTAAGCAGAGTTTCAAACAGCAGCAAGCCTTTCAAAGGGAAGAGTTCACACAAGTGTTTTTCTGGGCAGGAGCCAGCCTGGAGGGCCACTCTGAGGTCACTTCCTAGGGCTGCCCCTGCAGCAAGACAGTCCATCCCTTCTCAAAATCTGCTCAGTTCTCATATACAGGGATACTTGCCTTTCTCCCAGTCACCTCAGCATGGATATAAACTGGTCTCCAGTAGGTGCCAGTATCTCCCTCAGAAAGGAGGAGCAGGAGTGTGCCTGTGGTTGGGATCAGGGCAGAGCAGAGGGCAGTTCTGCCTCGGGGTGACAAGCACTGGCGTGTCCTTAGTCATCTTTTAAGACTCCCTCAGGGTCATTTTGTCCTCTCCTGCTTTTTGTTGCTATTCTTGAGAAAGAACATCCCAGTCCTGCAGGAACAGGGAAAGTTTGCAGGTTTACCTCAAGGCTTAACACCACACCAAAGCAGGGTGTGAACTGTGCGCTGTTCTTCGGGGCTGGTCTTGGGGCAAGTGGGAGCTAAAGTCTAATTACAGTGAACATGAGACCAAGGAGGGAAAGGCACATTCTTCCAGCTGATCCCAGAGCTGCCACGAGCCCATATTGACAGAGCTGCTACCTTTGTTCCCCTGCAAGAGCAGAGATGAAGACTTTGGACCAAGGAACACTTACCCTTTCTTTTTGAATGCACAAGATATGCTGTAACTGCTTCAGCAGCCTCCCTGGGTACTTTGCATCTGCAGAGACTCAGAGCAAGGCCGGGAGAAGAATCCTTGACAAATGTGGATTTCACACTGAGGCTGCAGGACATCCCATGAGCTGCACTGCATCAGCAGGAACTGTGCTGTAGGGTCAGAAATGCTCTCTGACTGCCCAGGGGGACTGAATCTGGGTATTACTTTTTTTTAAAAAGGAACTCTACTGTAATTGTCCTACTCATGGAGGAAGTTCTGCTAAAAATGAAATATTGATTGAGGAAACTCATCACTCCCATACTGTGAGACCTAATTTTCTTTCACATGCTTTCAGTCAGATTTAGAAGCACCTTTGGCTTTAAAAAAAAATCTGCTGCTCCATACCAGAACAGTGACAGATGGTCTTTGTTCCTTAATGAATCTTTGGGTTTTTTTATGTGCAATAGTTGAGGGATTTGCTTCCAGGGAAGATATGTCCCAACACCTGCTCTTCTCAAAGACAGTGGCAGTGTCAGCCAGCCATTTGCATCCGTGGTTTTGCAAAAAGAAGACTTGGAGATCTGAGAATTTTACCTTCCCTTCCCTCAAAGCTGTTTTAGAGCAGAAAAGGTTTTACAGAGAGGAACTCCAAAATCAAAGAGAAGGTAAGGGTTGTGGGATATTGAAGGGCTGTGCTTATTTGTTTTCCTAAAGGCATTAAACAGCTGTCTTAAACAAAGAACAAGTATTTGGATCCAAAATACTCCAGCCTTGGTTGTGTGTGACTCTCACCTGCTCCAGCTTTCCCGAGCTACAAGCCACAGGGCAGGGGGAACAGGCTCAAACAACAAACACTGCTGTTGGAGTGGGAGAAAAACTAAAGAATGAAGCATCTGAGTGGCTCACTCCAGGTTTTGCCACGCTCTGGTTTCCCTGTCTCCACTGCTCACCCCAAGGCTTTGTGCCCCAGTACTGAGTACATAAGTAACAACTCTCTTGTCTGCAGAAAGTCAAGTTGCACTGTCTGAACACCAACTGCTTCCCCGACTTATTTCTTGGAATTTGCCTCAATTTATTTGTCCCCTGCTGCTGCTGCAGGAGCAGAGTGTTGGTGGTAGGGAAGGGAAGAGGAAGAACACGTGAGTGCCAAAGGAGAGCAGGATGACCCAGCACCACTGTTGGCAAAAAGATCCTTTGCTGGAGAAGCTTGCCCACCACCTGGAATGCATCCAGTGGGGTCTGTGGGGCTGGCAGGGCCCAGGGTCCCTGTCACATTGTAGAGCACATCCCCCACCAGTCACAGCTCCCTGAGCAGCCAGGAGGGCACAGAGCTCCAGCAGCATCCTTAAAACACACACTGCCTTGGACTGCCCAAGAATATTGTGTTTCTCTAACATACTCAGAAATCACTTGCAAACACCTCTCTGTTCCAAATATTTCCAGGCTTGCACTGAAGCTGCAAAACTAACAACATTCTGAGCTGCAAAAGAAGAAATTGCGCTGTTGAGCAAGAGCCAGGACAAACAACTTCTACCATGCTGTAGGCTCTACAACACACTTTAATACTCTGGCATTACACACTTCCACCCACAGAGCTGCTTACAGGTACCTTGAGGAAAGCTTCAAAGCAGGAGTTGCTATAAATCCCTTTTGTCCTGCTATCTAGACACTCTCCCTCCCTCAAAATATTTTTGCCCTCCATGTCCTTAGAAAAGGGATTTACACATAACACAGGAGTTGCTCAGGAATCCAGATGTGTGCAAGGCAAGTCATGCAACTGTGATTATTCTTCAGCAGGGGTTTCACCATGTCCTTAAAGCAAAAGGGCCAGTGCAGGGCAGAGAATCTCCCTTCTGCCTGTGGCAGGACAGACACCACCCCTTGCATCTCAGTGGTCAAAATGCCCATCTTGTTTTCAGTGCCCAAATCCAAAGCCTGGAGAGTTCATCTGGTGGAAATAGTCAGCAAACAAATTTCCTTCCAGTAGCCATAGAAGAGTGGAAAGAGTCCAACATTTGCCATTTTTCCAGAATTTATCACTTTTTCCTAAATCCTCTGCCCCATATCTATAAGCTCCCAAATTCTCCAGACAGCCAGATCTGTGTCTTGAAGCAGAAATGGACAGGCATTATTCCAAATTACAGACAAACAGGAACACCCAGGAGATCCTGCCAAGCTCTCCCATGTCCCACAGGTGCAGGATGGAGCTGAGTGTCTCTGAGCTCCACACAGGACATTCCTCAGGCTTGGAAAAACCATCAGAAAGATGCCACGGCACAAACTGCCACTGCCTTTGTTGGGATACTCACAGAGCTGCGGTTTATAAGTTCACCCAAGTGACGATGAGGGGGATACTGAGGATGGAAACGTTGGGAACATGGGTCCAGGCAGAGCTTTGGGCCATGCTGGGGCTGCAGAGGTCGAACAAGCTGCCTTGAAACCTGTTTTTTCGGGACTCCCTTCTCAGCATCTCCCAGACGGCCGCCGCTTCCTTCTGGCATTCCCAGAGCACCGTCAGGGCACAGGTGTGGAATTCATCCCAGTACCTGCAGCCAGGGGAGACACCACACTGTCAGTCCCTTTGCATTCCCACAGTGCTGGATGCCAGGCAAAGCCTCTCTGCCCTGATCCTGCCCTCTGAGCAGCGACAACCCTTGTGTTTTGTGCAAGTTGTCCAGACTATTCATCCCCTCCATCATCTGCCAGAGCATCTTGGCTAAAAGTCCAAACCTCAAAACACTGAAATTATTTAATCATCTTTTTTTCCCCGTCTCTGGAAGTCAATAAAATTCATTATTTTCCATCAACAAACGTTTCCCTTCAGCACCAAGCACCCTGAGTATCTCACACAGGCTGCAAACAAAGGCCCAGCGCATCTCATTCATTGCTTCCTCCAAGTGGAGTCAAGGGCAAACGGGAGCACAAAGCACAGAGAGGGACAGCAGCTCCCACAGAGCATTGCAGCATTAACTGAGGTATGAGCAGGGGCAGGAGGAGTTATTCACTGTGTTCTCATTAGAATCATCTCCATTTATCTGCTGGATATTGCCTGGGCAAGTAGATGTTCAGTGTACAGAGGCTTTTGGGAGGAAAACACAGGAAAAAACCAAGACAGGCAAAGGTAACCCATGGTCCTGCAGGATAAACTGGGAGCTGCTCACTGAAGACCCCTTGGCCTGCCTCTCCTGTGGACAGCAATTTGGATTTTATTTTCTCTTCCAGACTGCCTGCAGGACAGGAGCAATTGTTCTGTCCCCTTCCCTGTGTGTGCCAGGACATCAGGCACACCTGCCCCCCCTGGGGAAGGGGCTGCAGCCCAGCTGCATGACGGGGACCCTGCACACTGGAAGGGCACAGCTGGGTGGTGTGTGGGGGCCCTGTTGGGAGGTGACACCCTGTGCACACAGGCAAACACCAGCACTCTGCTTGCCCAGCTGTCCTCCCGGGGCTCACTCAGAACACCAGCTGGGGGAGAGTTCATTAAACCGAGTCACTGTGGCAGAATAAACGTCCCCAGATAATGAGAAAACCTGGTGCCAACCCAGGCAAACTCTGGCCTTCCTGAGCTGCAGCAGCAGAAGGCAGCTCTGCCAGGTGAGAGTTAAACTCGGCCCACGTCTTCAGGCAAATAAGGTTGGAGGGAGGTGAAGGGGGATGGCAGCTCCTGCCTGGATCTGCTTTCAGCTGGGATGGCAATTCCCAGTGCTTCACCCTTCACAGCCCCCATCTGCTCAGGCAGACTGCTGGCAAGTGAGTTGCTGCTCTAGGGCAGCACCACACACAGAGCTGAGACACCACCAGCTCCTGGTTCCACGTCCATCCCTCACCCACGCTCCTGGAGAGGGGATCACAGCACCAGGAATGCAAACAGCAGTGGATAAGACTGAGGGTCAAAGGCAAATAATTTGGAAATACCTGGCAGGAAGCAGGGACATCATCAGCTTGATCCTCCAGGCACAGCAAGCCTGGCTAGCAGTGCATTAGGACCAGGAGAATAAGCTGGCATGACCCTGAAGGTGCAGAGCAAGGAAGATGCCAGGACCTGTTCTGCAGTGGTTTGTGCCCCAGAGCTGTCAGAAAACCTCAGTTTGCACCTTTCACACGAGCTTCAGCAAAGGAATTGCTCCTCCAGCAGTCGGGGCAGCCCGGGTTGGGCTGCCTGCTCAGGTGTGTTATCATACAGAGAAGGCTCATTTAACAAAACCAAACAAAGTATCAGTTGCTGTCCAAACCAGAGCAGGCCCCATTTCAACCCAGCCTTAGGCACATCCCAGAGACACTGTTCATCCTGAGCTGGGCTGTCCCCTGGGGAAGGGGGAGTACAGAGCAGGTCACAGCCCATGGGGTGGCTTCCAGCAACTCGAAAAACCTGCCCCCAGGGCACTCAGTCCTCTGCCTTGCCCTGCCAGGTTTCCACTGCCCCCAGGCATGTGGGTTTTCCCTTCATTGCTGCGTGCATTTCCTTGTAACAGCTATTCACTCCCCACAGCTCCTGCTGGGGACACAGGGCTGCCTCCATCTCTGCAAACACTTCCACCTTGCTGCTTCTTTCCCCAAACCTGCCCAACGCAACCCCTCATTACCCAGCTCTTCTTCAGTTCTGCTCAAGTTAACGTCCTCCCAACACTGTCATCTCAGGGCATCGCTACAAACTCAGGAAAACCAGGGCTGGACAAATCCAAGCCTGAAGGATGAAGGGGCTGGGCTGGGCCCGGAGGGACAAGGCTGGCTTTGGGCAGGGTGCTGGGCCCTGGGGCAGAGCAGCCACCTGCACATCAGTGCTGATACCCGGGGTCCAGGGGAGACTTTCCTGGGGTGCAGAGCGGGTCAGAGCCCACCAGCCCTGCTCCTCCCAGCTGCAGGCGTGCAGAGGCTGGCAGGGCACGCTCTAGGGGCTGGAGATCCTTGACCAGGGAGACAGACTCTGGTGGAAGACAAGCAGGAGATGGATGGATGGACAGACAAAAGAAGGGAGCTCACCAGGTCTGTCTGAAACCAGAGTGAGGTGTAGAACACACGTGCATGCGCAGGCACGGCAGGACCGGGAGGGCTGGAGGAGAAAACTTCACACAAGGGCAACACCAAAAGCCACGCTGGCCGTGCGCTGCACTCACCTGCAGACTCGGTGCAGCCCCTGCTGCTCGATGCCCTCCTCCTCCTCGTAGGTGGCCATGCTGTCCCCCAGCTTGAGGACGCAGTCCGAGAGGCCCCGGTAAGCATCGGCGCAGACGGGTCCCGCTGCCAGCAGCCCGGCCAGGTGCCCTGCGGGCAGCCAAGTGAGCCCCGGCACCTGCAGGGATGGAGCCTACCTCCACCCCGGGCTGTCCCAGTCCCTTCCCCGGCGGACAGCCCCGAGCCCCCGCCGCCTCCCGCCCCAGCCCGGCGCTGCCGGCGTTTGCCAAGAGCCCGGGGGGCACGGGGAGACCCCCGCCCAGCCCGCCCGCGATGCACGCCCGGCACCGGCACCCCCGGCCCGAGACGGAGGGAGAGAAGGAGGGAGGAAGGGAAGGGACCCCTCATCGCATCGCCCCCCTCCCGGACGGCCCAGACACCCCCTCACCCAGGGCGAGGAGCAGCACGGCCGGACCCCTCCGCTGCCCCATCCTGCCGCCGGCTCTGCCCGGGCTCGGGCTCCAGCCCCGCTGCCGGTACCGCTGCCCGCACCCCCGGGGCCGGCAGCGCTCCCCTCCCTCCCGCCTCCGCGGGGAGGGCGCCCGGCTCCGGTCGCCGCTAATAAGCGGCTTCGGCCGCGGCTAATTAAGGAGGAGGCTGGGCCGAGGCTAACGAGCGCTCGGGGGCATCCCCGAGTCCTGCATCCCGCAGCCCCGGCATCCCGCACCCCTGCCCCTCCCAGCATCGCATCCCCCGGCACTCTCAGCAGCATCCACGGCTCCCACACCCTGCACCCCTCCAGGTCCCTGCACCCATGGGGCCCATGGCACCCCAGCACCGGCACCCCAACACCAAACCCCCTGGCCCCTCCCCACCACAGCCTGCATTGCCCACTCCACGTGTGCCCTGAGTGGGGACATGGGCCAGTGCCCGCTGCCAGCAGCAGCAACCCGAGCAGGGCAAGGATCCCTCGCTGGGCCTCGGGCTCTGGACTGGCACAGGTTAATGCAACACAGGGTGGGAAGCAAAGCCCAGAGAGCTTGGAGGTTCAAAGCCTTCAACATCAGCCCCTCCAGCTCCAAAACCTTCTGTCCAGATCCCGCCTCCAGCAATTCCCAAGGCTGTCATGGCCTTCAGGGCATCAACTGGGATTTTGCATCCCTGCAGTCTGATCCCAGCTCTCACCCCACGAGTCCCTTTTGCTCCCACAGGAAGGGAAGCAGGAGATTTCCTGCCTGCTTTGGGGGCAGCGCTGCAGGAGCCAGTGACCCACCCTGGAGCTGCTCCATGGGGCGCCTGGGCCAGGCCGTGGGTCCATCCCCACCTCAGCTGGGAGATCCCTGTGCTCCAGCAAGCACAGGCTCCAAAGCAAACCCTGGGAACGGGGACACGGCGTCCATGTCACTCTGGCAATTATTTCTTTACAGATGAGCGCCACGTGCCCTGTCTCCATCAGTCTTGGAAGATAAGCAAGTGGCACAGTTATTTCAATCAGGCTATCGATGCACATTCCATGTGCCACCAGCCTGGGATATGCAGGGATGTGTCTGGCCCAGAGGTGCCACTGCATTCCCACAGCACCTGCAGCTCCCAAAAGGCTGCAGGGACAGGCCAGCCCCGGGGGCACTTCCCTCCAGTACCAGATACGCCTAATGCTCTTGGCAGTCCCCAACACAAGCCACCATCCTCTGCACTACCACAGCTCCTGTTACCCAAAGCAACTCCAGAGCCCTGCAAATGTTCCTGAGAGGCTCCTGGATTCCAAAGGGCTGGATCTGTACCTGACTTCTTCAACAAAGGGAGTCAGTGGCCGGGGAGGGCTGGAACAGCTCTGCCACCGATGTGCTGCAAGGCCTTTGTCACCTCTGTTGATGCAGGAGGATTAAAAAAAAAGCTGCCTGGCCCAGTGAAGTTTGTGGATTTACTGGGAGCAAACACATCACAGCTGAGCACGGTTTCCAACATGGCTGGGAAGGAGCCAGCCTGCCCAAACTATGGGGCAAGAAGGTGACAGTGCAGGGCAAGGGGGCCTGATGCAGGACCTCCCCTCACTCTGTCTGCCCAAGGGCTCCAGGAATGCCCCTCCTTCACCCGGAGCTGGGGCTGGGTGTTCTGCTGCCTGCACACCCCTCCCAGCTCTCCCAGCTCCCGTGCCAGCAGCAGGCATGGGCTGGGGCCCCAGGATGTGGGGACACGACATCCCAGGGCTTGGCAGGAGCCTCCCCCAGCAGGGACCGTTAGCACTGGGCCTGGGATCGTTCCCCTGGGATGGGGCATGGCCAAGGAGCCGGCTGGCTCCTGGCACAGGGCGGTGCTGTGAACCCCATCCAGGCTCCCCCCAGCTCTCCTCGCCTGTGGAGATGCTCCCTTTCTCAGCAGCCAATTCCTTCGAGGGTGTTCTTGGCTCTTCTGTCTCCCCACCATCCCAGGCTGAAATCCCCCCTTTTAAGGGAGCCACGGGACCACGAGTTGCTGGAGCCTTGCCTGCTGCAGGCTGCTTCCCTGAGATGTATCTCCTCGTTTACTGGGAAAGCAGCCTTGCCTTGCTTTGCCTCTTGCTGCAGCTCACTCCCAGCCCCATCCACGCACGCCTCCTAGAGAATAAGATCTATTTTCACCAGCAAATGATTCACCTGCGCTTGGAACTGGTTTGCCTTCCCCTTAGCAGCCAATTTCTCCTCACCCCACAACTCCCTGACTCACCTCCCAAACCTCTAATAGACAGGAAAAACCTGAGTGGGAAGGTCAGGAGGAACAAGTCACCTTACATTTTCTGCCGATGACAGGTGCCCGTGGATGCTGTGTCCCCTGGGGATGTGGGCACGAGCTGGGCTCTGTGGAGAGAAGAGGTGTCATTCTGACCCGAGCTGGTGACCCAGGGACCTGGGCACTTGCAGTTGGGGCCAGGGTTGACACAAGACAGTGCTGTGAGCCTGCACTGGAGGCACAGGGGAGGCAGGGATGCTGCAGCAGCTGGGACAGACCCTGCAGGTATCTGGCAAGGCTTATTCTTAGGGCTCCCTACCAGAAGTGGAGACTCTCCACTGACTCCAGAGTCACCTCTGTCCCCTCTCACCTTTTGGCCGGGGGCAGGCACGCTTTGCTACGAGGAAAAAAAATCATGATGTGGAGCTGGCTTGCCTGCAAGGGTTTAATTGGAATAAAATGTGTGCCCCGCTGAGCGGCACGGCTTGTGCTGAAGAGCCAGGATGAGTCAGGCTCCGTGCAGATGATATCACTGCTTTTCCAAAGCCCTCCCAAGCAAGGCAGGACGGAGGGGCCACAGCAGTGAGGGCCCTGGGAATGTGTCCCTCTGCACGGGTAGCACCCTCATGTGCTGTCCCTGCAGTGAGGATTCGGGATGCAGTGAGCCCGAGGGAACTCGGGGTGCTCCGGAAACTCGTGTGTGCACAACCAGCCCCCATGCCTCGCAGCAGTAACCGGGGCCAATCGACACACACGTGTCACATAGCAGAGACCTGAGCTAATCCCCCGGCCCTGCCTGCTACCTCCCTGCTGGCAGGGCAAGGCAGGGCAGGGCAGGGCAGGGCAGGGCAGGGCAGGGCAGGGGGGCAGCAGGGACGGTGGCGAACCCTGAGGCCACAGGGAGTTGTGAGCCAGCCAGCGCTGGCAGGTACCCAGCAGAGATTTGCTGCTGCAGCTCCTCAGAGACCATAAACCCCCACTCTTGCTACAGCAGCCTGGTCCCCCCAGCCACAGTGCTGGCATCCCACGCTGCCTGATGGCGAAAACCATCAGGCAGATCTGAGGGTGCTTACAGATAGGGATCAACATTTGGGTGGACAAAACCACCATGTGAGCTGAAGGCAGCAGCTACGGGCAAGTGCACAGGGTGCAGGCTCCGGGTCCCCAGCACAAAGCCGGGTTTTGGCAGCAGGAGGTCCCAGGGGGCACAGAAGGGGACAGCAAAGCAACAGTAGCCAAAACAGAGCCGGGACACAAACAATACCGAGTTATCTTTTGTTATTCAGACAGCGAGAGGAACACACTCAGAACGGGACAGGCGGGACACGCCACAGACACTGGAAACTCCCTTCCAGCCAGAGCAAAAGGGCACAGTGGATGCCCCCCCCGTCCCGGCTTGGCAGTGACCAGGCAGTGGGCAGAGCTGGCGCTGGGCACGGCGAGGCACTGACTCACCCTGCTGAGACACAGGAAGGAGGCGGGCGGCCAAGTCCGCTCCTCTGCCAAGGAGCAGCCCTGATGTGCGGGGCTGAACGTGGGAGAAAACACCCCAGAGTGGGGTCTGCTGGGGATGAGCGTCTCACAAGGCCAGGAGTGAGCTGGGGAGGGAGCCCCTGACCCATCCGTGCAGTGTGCTGTCCTCTCTCCCGCGTCAGTGCGTGACTTGGGCATTTAGAGAAGAAAAGTAAAGAAAAACTGAGGAAAAGCGAGCGTGAATGGTAACTGTGCTCCCTACCCAGAGAGACCCTGCCTCCCCCCCGCCTTCCCCCTACCAACCTCCTGCCACGCGTGGCACAGCCCCTGCCGGACCGTGGCACCTGCAGCCCGACCCTGCGGGTACCGAGCTCTGCCCGGAGCGGCCGTGAAGGGGGGGCCCGGCTGTAGCGACCCTCCCTGGGGGCCAGGGACCCTGCGTGGGGACTCTCCGCGCGTCCCGGCGAATGTGGAGACCCTCCGTGAGGACGGGGTACCGCGCACGGGGCCCCCTGCTCTCCACGGGGGCCTGGGAGCGCGGACGGTGCCCCTGCGATCCTAGACGGGAACCGGACAGCCCGTCCCCGCCGCAGGACTCCCGGGGGGCTCCGGGAGGAGCGGCCCCGCGCTGCCGCGGTGATGGGCGCGCCGGTCCCGCCCCGCGCAGCGCCGAGCACCGCCCCGCAGCGCGGCTTGGCCGAGGGGGGGCCCGCCCGAGCCCCGTCCCCGGCACGGCCCGGGCGCAGCAGCCGCATGTCGGGGCCCGGGGCGCAGAGCCGCAGCCGGCGGCTGCCCGGTAAGTGCCGGCCGCGGGCAGGGCTCGGCGGGATGGGAGCGGGGCTCCAAAGCGGGCGGGCAGGGCTCGGGTGCCACATCCCCTCCACCCCCTCCGCAGCTCCCACCTGAGGCCCCTGGCAAAGCCGCTGTGCCCCCCCCCGGCCGTCCCCGCAGCCTCCGGCCCGGCCGCCCCGAGCCGCCGCCGCACCAACCTGCTGCCCGGGCGGCTTTGAGCGGGGCTGCTGCCCGGGGAGCGCCGTGCCCGGGACGGGGATGCTCGGGGGACGGGGGGATTTGGGGGACACTTTCCTGGGAAAGGGCTGAGCTCGGGGACCTGTTGTGGAGTGGCACCGGCACCCCTCGGAGTGCCGGGGGCTCCCGGCAGGAGCGGGTCCTCCCGCCCCCGCGGGGCCGAGGGTATGAGGATGCTGAGCAGGGAAAAGCCATCAGCGAGCGGCGGGGCGAGCGGCAGCCGGGGGACCGGGGCTGGCTGGGGGCAGCCAGCCAGGGACGGTGCCCGGGTCATGCCCGCCGTGCCTCGGGCACCGCGCTGCCCGCCTGGCTGCCCCGTCCTCACGCTTCTCTCGCATGAAAGGAAGCAGCGCCCCGCAAATAGCAGGGTCTTATGACACAGCCTCTGCCGGGGAAGGAGCTCCGGGCGGCGGGGAGGGATATTTTTAGTGCTGAGACGCAGGGGATTTGGAGATCGCTCGGAGGAGTGCAGGCGATGAAACCGCGGCACACACAGGGGTTACGAGGTGCCATGTCCTCCCTCTCCAGTTCTCCCCCCTTCCCTCTTTTCCCGGCAAGCAGCTCAGCCAAAACCACTGCCTCCCTCGCACTCGCCTGGTGCATTTCCTCTCACCAGGGCTACGGTTATTTTTTGCTGTGCTGCAACACGAGGTCAGACGTGCCGATGGAGAACCGTGCAGGGAATTAACGCTCAGGCAGCCGGCGTGTCCAGAATCCCGTCTCTGCAGGGCCTGACCCCGAGTGATTCTCTGGGGCATTCCCAGCTCTCCACACCAGCCGCTTCTCCCAAGGCTGAAGGAGCTGAAAGCCCTTGGGAATTACCCTTGTCCCACAGGGGTTGTGCTGGGGCAGGGTGACAGGGAAAGGCCATCTCTGCAGAGTCTCCCAGAGGATGCTGTGGCAGCTGAGCTGCATCGTCCCTCAGCCATCTCCTCACAGCCCTGCACGTAGGGATCAGGAGGGCAAGGCGCACAGTGGCAAGTTGGGCAGCAGTGGGACATTCTGGGCTTCTCTGGAGGAGCAGAGTCAGAGGTTTGAGCTCCAGGAAAGCTCAGGGAGAAGGGCAAAAGCCAGCCTACTCCAGCTGCTTGATTCAGCAGGGCACTGGCCCATGCTTGGAGCAACCCACTACTTAAAACTCTGCTCACCTCCCCAGCACCCACTGTCCCTTTCTCAGACCAGATTATTTTCCGGGACCTTTAAATCCTTTGAAATCTCTGCAAGGTATTGCAGAGCTGTGGCCTCAGGAAAAGGCCATCCCCATTCTCTCTTGGCCTTGTGCCAAGTAACAAGCTTCCTCCCGCCCCAAATGCAGCCCTCCTATCGACCAGCACAGAGCGGGGATCCCGGGGGCCAAGGAGGAATGAAAAGTGCGTCCACTCCCAATGGAAACACAGCCAGATGATTGAAATGTGCTCCACTCCCGGCATGGATGCAGAGTCAGAAGCGCCCTGAGCTGGTGCTCCCCACACCCTCCAGCCCTGTCTGACCCTTGCCCTGTGCTAACTGCACCTTGGAGTTGCTCCTCTCCCAGCCCACTCCGGCGAGGGTGTGGATGGGAGAGCTTGCAGAGCTTTGCTTCTCAGCCAGCCCTCCCACAGCTTTCCCCACCACGGCGTAGCCACGAGCCCACACCACGAGGGGTGGCCCTGGCAGGGTGGAGGGGCCCGTGGGGCCTCCATCCTCAGAGCAGGTGAGAAAGAAATCCCTGCCTGCTCCTCCTGGGGGGAATCCTGCCCTGCCCTGCCCATCCAAACTCTGCAGCAGTGTTTGGCCCCAGTCCCTCTCCAAGCTGCACTGGCTAACAAGCCGTGAGAGCCGGAAGGATCTGAAGGCAGCGGGCGCTCGGTGCCCGCGCTGGGCGGTTCAGCCAGCGGGGCAGAGCCTGGCTCTGAATGCTGATCAGCCTCCAGCCCCTCGTAATAACCATGACAATGGCAATAAAAGCCAGGCCACCAGCAGGTACCGACAGATCCCCCACGGTGCACAGGGGCCGCATTGTGTGTGCGAACGTGTCCCACGGTGGGAACATGCCAGGCGGATGAGACAATCCCGGGGCTGGTGACCGGCTGTCACATGGGCAAGGGCCGCGGCAGGGAATGCCGTGCTCCTTTATTTCCCCGGAGAGGGCTGCCCAGAGGCAGCGACACTGGCAGGGCTGTTCGCTCCCCCTGGGCCTGGAAGAGCCCCGGGAGGGGGGAAGGCTCCATCCCCGGCTCTCACCGCGGTCACGGGTCAGGCAGGGCCAAGCACAGCCCCAGCTGCTGCCTCCCGCTGCCGGCCTTCCTTACATAATGGGATCTCAGTGCTCGTGCCCAACTCCCCGGCGACAGCTCGAAAACAAGTTCATAAACAGGTCCTGCTAATTTCTCCCTCCAGAGAAACGCTGGCGCCCACAGGAATGCTGCCTCCAGCCGCCTGTCCTCGCTCTCCCCAAGCACCTTTGCTCCGAGTATCGGTCACGTGCTGGGGAGACATGGGTAGTGAGAACAGCACACACTTAATGGCACCTGGGACAGCACCTGAGAGCATTTTGGTTTATTTTGTCTTTGCACAGCAGGGGGATTTAGAGACTCCTCCTTACCTCACACTGGGCTCCCTTTGGCAAGGTGTCCCAAGGAGAGCTGGTCTGTCACCCTGAATCCGGGAGCCAGCACAGCCTCTGCCCTGAGCCCAGCCTTCCTAGGGCTGTCCTCAGTGTGCTGAGCTGTGGCAGTTTGCCATGGATTCAGCACAGCTGGGTTTGGGAACACAGCTCTTGTCCCCAGCTCCACTCTGCTCTGCAGGTGGCACAGGGCAGAGGTGTTTGCTGTGCCCCAGTGGCACTGGGCTGGTGCTTTTCCTGCCAGGAAAGCTTCCCAGGCTCTTAGCCTGGGCCCTGCACAGCACACCGAGCCTCGGCACCGGTGCTTGGGTCAGACATACCAAGGCAGAGATCCCTGCAGGCAGCCAGGAGCGCTGCCCCAGGCAGCACAGGAAGACGCTGAGCAGCCAGAAGAGGACCAGAGCCTCTTCCAGAAAGCGGGTGGTGACTGGCACTGAGTCATGGTGCATCCCCACGCTGTGCTGCCAGCACAGCCCAGCCCGCTGGGGCAGCCACCTGTAGATGATGGGTTTTCACTGAAGGATGCCCCAGAAACGGAGTGCAGAGAAACCCTGGAAGGGCTCTCAGGAAGATGTGCCATTGATCTCCAGGACATCTCACCAGGCTAACTATCTCTCTCCCATTTGGGTCCTGTGCTGCTCCATGCTGCTGATGGCCAGCCCCCCTGCTGTCCTTGCCCCCGCTCCTGCCAGACAGGGTGGGGATGCTGCTCCCTAGCCTGGGGGAGCAGAGGGTTTGGGCTGCGCTCAGGCAGAGCAGAGGATGTTTGTTTGGTTTCCTTGGTTACTGCACTGCCTGCTCCAGTAATCACATTTTCCTTGTGCCGGCTGGGCCAAGAGCAGTAGAGAAGAAATATGGAATGGCTGAGGTCAAACACCAGCCTGGGAACAGCTGGAGCCACCAGCCACAGCCCCTCTGTGCCACTTGGGTCCTTGCTGCTGTGGGTACCCAACCCAAAAGGGAGTAATCAGGCTCAGGGATGAGCAACAAGCTCCTTCGGCAACAGCCCCAGGGCTCCCACCAGTCCCTCCAGTGAGCCAGGGACACAGACACCGGCGGTGAACTGTGCGAGGAATTACAGGAATGAAAATGTTTGCGCAGGCAGAAGCCAAGCTGGCTGTGAGCAGGGCTGTGAGCGGGAGGCTGCGAGCGTGGGTGCAGCTGTATTTATAGTGACGCGGGGGGTGTGCACGGGCAGGGGTGACAGGGTTGCGAGCGGCTTTTGTTCCTCATGCATCCCTCAGCCCAGAAATCCCGGAGCACTAACGCCAGTTGCCGTGCCCTGGAGCTCCCCTGCTCATCAGCATTCACACACAGCCCTCGGTTTGGTAGCGGGGAAACCGAAACTCGCAAACCGCGGCTGATCTCAGCCCAGCACCCCTTCCCCCTGTAACTCCCTTCAGCAGCCGTGAGCGTGCGAGCTCCCCGTTCCCGGCTGCCTCGCGCCTCAGGAGCAGGATCTGAGTGAGGCTCCAGCACAGCAAGCGCTGGTGACGCTGCCGTGCCGGTGTGTAACATCTACCCACGGTGACTAAATCAGCGTGCGCTGGTAAAGCAGAGCAGGGGGGGCTCAGCAGCCCCAGCACCGTACAGTGTGAGCTGGCACAGGCAGAAGGGCTCGGACAGCCCTGCCTGGCCTGACTCTCCTCACCTTCCTCCCCAGCCGACATGGAGCAGGCGCAGCGGAGCCTGGACGCGGAGCAGATGCAGCAGCAGCAGCTCAAACTGCGGGACCGGCAGAAGTTCTTTGAGGAGGTTTTCCAGCATGACGTGGATTTCTTCTTCCCCATGTCCCACCTGCAGATAGAGCATCGGAGGCGTAAGTGCTGCGGGCACCAGCAGGGGCTGGGCTGTCTCAGGGGACGGTGACACAGGGGTTACAGATGGGTGGGCCATCCCCAGTGTAACGGCAGTGGGGACACACGTCCTGCACCGAGATGGGACCACACAGGCTGTGTGTGGGTGTGCTGTGCATTACTCACACCACTTCTCTGAAGGCATTTGCACATGGGTACCCAGGCTGGCGCCCTGCAGAGTCACTGGCTTCAGGCAGGCTCCTCCAGACAGCAGTTTGGAGCAGGGACAAGGACTGCAGTGAGACAGCAGGGGCTTCCAGAGGGATGTTTCCAGGCAACATGATTTTCCTGGGGGTCCCTTACCAGCAAGCAGAATTCAGTTCCCCGTGGCAAGGCTGGTCTCCCTCCTCAGGGTCCCGCCTGCACAGTGCTGATGGTGCCCTTTGCCTGGCACTAGCACCCACCTTTTCACTGGTCTCTGTCTCTTGCAGCTCCCTTAGGCAGCATTTCTTCCATGGAGGTGAATGTGGACATGCTGGAGCAGATGGACATGATGGACCTGTCAGACCAGGACACAGTGGACGTGTTTCTGGGCTGTGGGACAGAGGAGAGCAGCATTGTTGGATCCCTGCCAGGTATGTGCGGTCCTGAGCCTTTTGTGGGCCAGGCTGGAAGCCCTTCCTGCCCCCAGCGCCCACACTGGCTGGTTCCTCAGCCTCAGCCACCCTGCAGGCCGATCCACACCCACCACAGGCAGACACTTGGTGCTGGGGTCTGTGAGGTTGGAGGGATCTCACCCCAGGCTGCTCCACATCAGTATCCAGCTCCACAGCCCAGGCATACAGACCCCTGTAAATACCTTGTGCTGCAGAAGACAGGAGAGCCCGGGCACCTCCCTCATCCAGGGGTCAAACTCCCTTGTCCTTCAGTGCCTCTGGAGCAGCCAGTGTCTAGTAAAGAGTCCCCAGGTCCACTCTGTGCTGCAGAGCTCATCGTGCTGAGCGGGAAGGCTGCAGGACCCCTGCACCTCCCAGCCAGACCCCAGGAGAGCAGGGAGAGCCCAGGGTGGCTGCACCTTCCTCCACACACACACTGGAGTGAGGTCAGGCCAGACACCTCCTGTCCTGCTGCAGCAACAGCCTCGCACAGCACGCTCTGAGCTGTGCTCCCTGCGACGGAAACGGCTCCACTGCCAAACCAGGGAAGGAATGTGCAGCAACTGCCCGAGCCAAGCCGGGCGTGTGGGGTGGGGAGCGGCCACAGCAGAGCAGCCAGGAATGCACAGCCTGCCGAGGAGTAAGACATGAGTGTTGGCCATGAAGCCTAGGGAACAATAAACTTCCAGAAGGCTTTTTATTTCTCACACTGCTCTCTCCTCCAGGGGCAGACGCCAGCCAGTGCCCAGAGGAGATCACCCTGCAAGTGCCCAACGCAGCCGAGAGCAAGTCTCGCATTTCCTCCACGTCCTCGGCCTCCACGGATCTGAACAGCCTGGACACCAGCGAGGAGGGGGCCGAGACCCCCGTGGTGCAGTCGGATGAGGAGGACCTGCAGGAGGACAGTTCCAAAGAGCAGGTGGCAAGAAGCTAGCAGGCAGCTGTGCCTGGCTCCCAGCCTCCTCCGTATGGACTTGCCAGCCCAGAGGAAGGAAAACTGCTGGTGCTCAGCAAACCCCTTCCTGGACTGCTGCCCTACCAGAGGGGAGAGATGGTTTTCCCCTCCTCTCCCTCCACAGGTTCTCCTGGCAGACAAAAGAAGGAAAGGGGTATTGTAAGCTCCCAAACTTAACTCTTCAGGCTTTGCTGCTAACACTCCTTGCTTCACCCCCCCTCAAAAACGCTGAGCATTCCACAGCCCCACCACTCCCAGAAAGCCATCCCTTGGGACCCCAGCTCCCCCTGTTCTACTGACAAAGGTTCTGCCCAGACAAGCACTTAACAACAGAGGAATAACACTGCACACAGAGAAATAACACTGATCTAACCAACAGTGGGTGTGTGTGTCTTTGGGAGAGGACAGCGCCAGGTGAGGGTTTGGAGTCGATTGAGGGGGGAGAGCAGCGCAAAGCCAGCGTGCCAAGGGTGCCACACAGAGCAATCAAAACCTCCTGTTGCACAGCCCAGGGATGGTTCCTGAGCAGACAGCACAGACCTTGGCAGAGAAGGGCTGTAAGTGCAGCAGGTGACCCCCCTCAGCTACCTGGGCTGTGCTCCAGGAGGGAGGGAGCCAGCACAGACACAGCCTGAGCAGGGCTGGGGGATGGTGACCTGGAACCAGGAGCACACTGGGATCTCCCACACAGGTGGGATGAGTGGAGAACAGCAGCACACACAGCACAGACGCTGCTGCTCTCCCAGCACAGCGGCCCAGAGCAGTGACAGGAGAGCATCAACGTGAAGCCACTATGCAGCTTGGACCCCGCAGGCCAGGCCAAGAGGGGTTGGGAACAAAGCTGGCACTGCCACTGTCAGTGGCTGCAGCCCAGGAAAGGGCTGTCCCTGCTCCAGCTGCGTCAGCACAGCCGTGGTCACCGGGAAAGGAGCCTGGGAGATCAGCAGCAGGAGCCAGGGAATGCTCCTCCATCCTGCTGCTTCCCAGGGGGAGTGCAGACACCCCTGCACTCCTGTCAGCCAGCCCACCTGACACAGCTGCAGTGCCTCCTGTCCATATGGCAGCACCAACACGCTGCATGTACTGCCTTCAGCTGTTCCTGAGATGGGAAAATGATTGAGAAACAAGGGCCAGGCCTCAGGGCTTCTCAGGCCCTGGCACAGGGAATTCCCAAAGTAGGCACAGGGTAATTAATAGCTCTGGCTGGATGCCTTTACCTTCAATTACCTTCCAAAATGCATCTAAACCTTTATTACTTACCAGTATCTCGTTGCAAGGAGTTGCTCAGTTTGAAAAAAAGAAACAAACAAACAAAAAACCCAACAAGCAACATTGTGTAAAGAAATTTGACTTGTTGGTTTTTTGGTTTTTTTTGGTTTTTTTTCTTCTGGGCATGCTACCTTTTTGGTTTCACGTGATGCCCCTAATAAGCAAGAGGGAAAAAAAATGCTATAAAATAAGCAAGAGAGGAAAATAAAGACCTATAAGGGAACTCCTTATCCTTTACAAACACTGAGTCAACTGGATTTGATTCCAAGTTAATGTTGCATGAAGACCTTAGATCTGAGCAAGTAAGTGGCTAACTGAATAGGTGCAGCACCTGGTAAGTGACAACCCCACGTTGTCACAATTTTTACGCTTATTTCCCACCGGAGCAAACCATCACTCCTCTCAAATCATCACGGGGAACGGCCAGCCAGAGGGGGAGTCGGTGTGAGCTCCACGGGATGTCACTGCCTGGCTGTGGCTGCCCTTTGCCTCCCCCGGGCTGGGACGAGCAGGGGAGCCGGGACAGGCACAACCCCGCAGGGAACCCCCAAGGGGAGGGAGCCCCGGGAGCCCTCGCACCGCCCCAACCAGCAGAGAGGGACTCGCCGCTCCTCGTGGTCCCCTCCAGCTCCGAACACTCCGAGCAAACAGCAGCGCTCGCTCCGTGCAGCAGCTCCTCGGCGGGGCCCCGGCCCAGAGGAGGGAAGGCAGGGAGGGAGGATGGACTGCAGGATGGATAGAAGGAAGGATGGATGATCTCCATGGCCACGGCCCCGGAAGCGGCGCCATTGAGGGGCGGAAGCGGAAGCGGCGCGGGCGGGCGGGCCCGGGATGGCGGCGGTGCCGCTGCTGCTGCTGCTGGCGGCGTGTGCCGGCCCCGGGCGGGCGGGCGTGGCGCGGGAGCGGCGGGACGCGCTGCGGGAGGAGCTGCTGCTGAGCCCGCTGCCCACCGGGGACGTGGCCGCCACCTTCCAGTTCCGCACGCGCTGGGACGCGGACCTGCAGCGGGGCGCAGGTAGGGCGGGCCGCGCCGGGGCGGACCGGGCCGCTATTGGCTGGCCCGAGGGGCGGACCGGGCTATTATTGGCTGGCGCCGGGGGCGGACCAGGCTGCTATTGGCTGGGGCGCGGCGCAGGGGCGGGGACACCGCGGCGTGATGGTTTGCATTGAGTTGTGACATCAGATGGGAGTGACGTCAGAAGGATGAGTGACGTCAGAGGCGAGCAGGGTAGGGCAGGGCTGCGGGAGGCCCAGGGCTGCAGGGGCTCGGGGTGGGGGTGCGAGTGGGGTGCCTGTGATGGTGAAAGCAGGGGCAGTGTCAGGGATGAGGTCATGCTGGGCCAGGCCCTGGGGTGACGTCAGGGGCAGGGATGGGGTGCAGCGGGCAGGGACTAACGGGTTCCACACAGTCTCTCACTACAGGCTGTTCCCGAAGGCGCTGGGGCGGTTGGTGGCGGCGCTGGGCGTGCGTGAGCTGCACCTCGCCCTCACCCAGGGCTTCTGGCGCACGCGGTTCTGGGGGCAGCCCCCCCTCCAGGCACCCGCCGGCGCCGAGCTCTGGGTCTGGTTCCAGCCCACGGTCACTGAGTAGGTACCCTGGCCGTGGATCTGTCCCCCCGGTCCCTCCATGGCCACTGATCCCGGGAGCTGTGGCTCGTCTCTCAGGAGGCAGCTGCCGTGTGTGAATTGGTCTCCTGGGTGGAAAATGTCTGCTGGAATAAAGGGCCTGGAATGCCAGGAGTAGCTCTAAAAAAAAGCAGAACATGTCCCCACTCAGTACACAGGGCAGGATGTGGTGCTGAGGGCACAAAAGTAATTCCCTTGTGGGCTCTGTGATGACAAACCCCTCACTGCACTAATGGGATAGAGTTATATCTTGACGTCTCATCCATGACTCCTTTTCACTCCCATCCAGTACCTGTCCCCATCTCCCTTAGCACTCAGCTCCTGTTCAAGCTGCAGCAGCTCTGTGGGGCTTCACAGAGTTCTCTCTTCCCTTCATATTTACTGAATGTTACTGACTTAATGCTTGTTGTTCCAAGGATTTGAACTGCCCAGCAATCTCTGGTATCTGTTCTCACACAGTGTTGACAAAGCCTGGAAAGAACTCAGCAACATCCTCTCGGGAATATTCTGTGCTTCTCTCAACTTCATTGACTCGACCAACACAGTTACTCCAACAGCATCCTTCAAACCCCTGGGCTTGGCCAATGGTGAGCCCTGCTCTTGCCTCTCACTTTAGTTCTGCCTGGTGTCACTGCCAGCATTCTGGGGCAGGTCCTGTGGTGACCCCGGGTATGGGTACAACACAGTCTGTTAACCTCCTCCTGGAAGTGTTTGCTCTCCCTGCAAACAGGGCTTGCATTGGAACAGAGGAAACCCACAAGCAGTTCATGGCAGATGCTCCCAGGCCCTTATCTGTCTCTCTGAAAAGTATTTTATGAAACAGTGAGAACTACAAGATTAAAGGCACTCATGAAAACGAAAATCTGCTAGGATGCATCCTTACATGCACACCCTTACTGTTTCCAAATCACTCTGAGCAGAGTGGGAGGTGTTCCTGATGGAGCTCATGTTGAGAGGGTGGTGGGTGTGGGGTGGAACAGCCTGTGGCAGTGCCAGGCTGGTGACCCTGCAGTCCCTCCCAGGGACAGACCACCACCTGCTGCGATACGCCGTGCTGCCCCGGGAAGTCGTCTGCACTGAGAACCTCACGCCTTGGAAGAAGCTGCTCCCCTGTGGCTCAAAGGTAACAGCAAGTCCTGCTGCCTCCCTGGGTCGCTCCCAGTGGGAAGTCCCAGCTGGGCCTTTCTCCCGTGGGGGCAGAGGGCAGGGCAGGGGCTGAGTCCCTCCTTTGCTCCCTGCAGGCCGGGCTCGCTGTGCTGCTGAAGGCCGAGCGCTTGTTCCACAGCAGCTACCACTCACAGGCAGTGCACATCCGCCCCATCTGCAGGGTAAGCTCCAGGCTCAGCTCCCTCCCTCAACATCCCAACAGAAAATCCACCCTGTAAGGTGACACACTGGTTTGCCCAGCTCTGCTGCTGGGGGTTCACTGTGTCTAACACAGCTGTCCTGCTGCTCTGCTCTCATCCCAGTGGTGGTCCTGGTGGAGGTTCCAGCTCTGTCCTGGTGTTCTGCCCCTGCAGAAGGTGTGATCAGAGCCACTTGTCTCTTTGTTTTTCAGGATGCCTCCTGCCTGGCTGTGTCCTGGGAGCTCAGACAGACCCTCACTGTGGTCTTTGATGTCTTTTCCAGTGGTCAAGGAAAGAAAGGTAAGCCTGGGGGTTGTGCACTGTGGTGCTGGAGGGCCCCCAGCCTGCAGCACTTCACTGCCTGACACTGACTTTGCTTCCCACAGACTGGTCCCTCTTCAAGATGTTCTCCCGCACACTGACTGACGCCTGTCCTCTGGCATCGCAGAGCAAAGTCTATGTTGACATCTCTCCCAAGAATAAGGTAAGCTCACGGACCAGAGAGCGCTCCCTGCTCCCTCGTGTGGCCCTGAAACATCCTCACCTCCACCCCCTGCACGGCCCAGCCCCTGGGAGGCGGTTCCCTTGCTCTGACCAGGGGGATGAGCCTGCTGCTGTTGGTGAGACTGACCACCTCAGGTGGGCGGGAAAGCTCGGGGCCAGCTGGAGGGGCTTTGCCCAGCACTGCCAGTTACTTCAAGAGGCACTTTTCCTTTCATGGCCCATTTGCTTTCTCAGGAAAAGGAGCTGCTGGAAGTGACCCCCCCTCCAACATCCGTACACGAAGCTGTTGTCCAGGGAGACAAGAAAACCTACGCTGTCTATGACCTGCTGAGCCCCTCGCTCTTCAACACATCTCGCAGCCTCAACGTGCAGCTGAAGTGGAAGCGGCCCCAAGACAGCTGTGAGTGAGCAGAATTTCACTCCATCTGCACCTCTGGCCAGGGCTCCAGGCCTAAAGCTCCCCTGGCCCGGCCCCCCACTGCTGTCCCTGTGTGCCCCGCAGCGGAGATGCCCGTCCCCGTGCTCCATGCCCAGCGGTACGTGGGTGGCTACGGCCTGCAGACCGGCGAGATCTGCACTCTCATCTACAACACCCACCCCTACCGGGCCTTCCCCGTCATCCTGCTGGAGA